ACGGCAGGCGCGCAGAAGACAGGCGGCAAACTGCATTGAGTATGCGGCGGCAGCACCGCACCCAGCCAGCCGGCCAGCTGGGAACAGTTTACCACAGCAGGTGCAGCGTGCTTCACACCACAGCACGCGCAGCGTGCAGCACAGCGCCGCCGCGCCGCGCCTGCTGGCATCCGTCTGCTGCCATCTGCTGCTGCCATCTGTCTGCTGCCACCTGTCTGCTGCCGCGCCGCCCACCTGTAACTCTTGTCCTTGAACTTGACGAAGTACTCGCGGGCGCCGTCCCGTCCCGCCGGCGTGCGGCACCCCAGGATCGCCTCCACGTGCTGCAGGCCCTGGCAGCACAGCGCGCACTGGGGCTCCCCGTCCTCTGTCTCCTGTGGGTGGAGGGGTCCAGGGCGGAGGTGGTGTGGGTTGGTGTACGGTTGGGGGGGCCACGGCTGGGGGGCAATGCAAGGAGTGGCAAGGGCAATGGGGAGAGGAAAGTTTATGCAAGGTCAGATGCATGATGGGGCGCTGCTGGCTGGCTGCGCCCTCCAGCAGCCCGTTCTGCCAAGAGCGGGAGAAGGGGGAGAGCCTTTGAAGAAGCAGCCCCACCTTCATGCAGCGCGCGTGGCACAGCGCGCCGCATGTGGAGCAGTAGCACAGCTCCCTGGCGGCCGATGCCTTCTTGCCGCCGCGCTTGCCGCCCGGCGCGGACTGCCCACACGCCTCGCACGTCTGCGGCAGTGGCAGGGGCGGTGTGTGGGGCTTTGTGGGCGTTCAGGGTTGTGATGCCGCTTGGCCTGGGTGCACAGGTGTAGTCAAAAATGCGCCAGCAGGGATCCCGACCACGCACGGGGCGGTGCCATGCAGGGCAGCCTGCCGGCGCAGCAGCTGCCCCTGCATGCATGGAGCAGCTACGCCAGCCCAGCGGCCGGCCCGGCCGCGGCACCCCTTTCCGTCCAGGCACCCCGGGCACCTGGCTGGGCAGGCAGTCTGGGCAGTACCAGAAGGCCAGCGGGGCGGCTGCCAGCGGCGGCTCCAGGCAGAACATGTGGAAGCCGCGGTCGCACTGGTCGCACAGCAGCATCTCCTTGCCGCGGTGCTGCAGGCGGGTGTGGGGCCGGCAGAGGGGCAGGGACAGGGACGTGACGGAGCGGGGCCGCACGCGAGGTCGCGCGGGGGGGCGCGGGCGGCGCGCTGCTGTGCATGCCGCGGTCGGTGCGCTGTGCATGCTGAGACTGATGTTTGTGTCAGGTCCCCCGCTGGCACATCACAGCCTCTCAATCCATAATCGCACTCTACCCCTCGGGCTGATTTCCTTTCTCCGGGCGGGACAATTGGATGTACTGCCCAAGGTATGTGCGCTGTGCATGCTGAGGCCCCGCTGGTGCCTGGCCGCACCTTGGAGTCGCAGACCTGGCACCGCGTCTCCTCGTACCCGCTCTTCTGCTGGCGCTCCGCCTCGCGGTACGCCTCCATCTGCACCGCGGTACCGCCGCCGCAGCAGCGCACGGATGCCCTTTCAGACCGCCCATTCAGACCGCCCGCAAATCGAGGGGTGCAAGCCAGCACCGGTTGAAGCAGCCGCCACCAGCAGCAGGGCACAGCGGCGAGAAAGGCAGCGAAAAGAGCCCCGGCAACGAAAGGAGTTCCCAGCCCTCAGCCGCTCCACCACCTTGAGCTCATACTCCTCCTGCTCCTCTGCATAGCTCTTGACCTGCACAAGACACGCAGGCAGGACAAGCAGCAGCAGGCGTCGGCGGGCAGCAGCAGGGCTAACAGCGCATGGCCGCCGGGGCTGCCGGCCTATGTAGTGTTGCCAGCCTCGAGGCGGAACCGCAATGCACTGCTGGCGCACCTTGGTCCGCTCCCGCCCCGTCCGCCGTGTCGGCGTGGGCTCCCGCGCGTGCTTTCCGCGACGGCCGGGGTTGCGACGCCGCCCGTCTGCACGCCAGGCCACGCAATCAGGCTCAAACAGCAGCACGGCCCTGCGTTCTGCTCCCAAGACGGCGCTCACATCAGCCCTCCCCTCCCTGCCCTCAAGACTGCGACCGCGGCCTCCCTCAACCCCTCACCATCAATGAAGGCTCCCGAATCGTCATCCGACTCGTCCTGGTACTCCAGAATACCGCTCCCCTCCCCATCCTCATCCTCAAAGTCCTCCTCGTCGCTGCCAGGCCTGCAGAAGAAGGCGGAGCAGGCCGGGCGGAGGTGGGAGGTGGCGGCGAAGTCGGCCAGCAGCGCTGGGTGCCAACGCCGCCACTGCTTCCTTGCGCCAAAGGCACAGGCGACCCCGCCGTGCCCAGGCTGGCAGGCGTGCGCTCACTCCAGGCCCTGGGCGCGGCGCAGCCCCTTCTGCCAGCCCTCTGAGAAGCCGTCCATTATTTGGGCCTCGCTGTACCTGCAGCAGTACCGGTACAGCCGCCAGGATGGAACCTGATCGCCGCAGGGTACCATCGCCGTGAGGCACAGGACATGTGCTGCCAGCAGCACGACACGCATGTCCCCGGACACAGCATGCAGCAGCAGCTGGCGCAAGAAGGATGCGGGGGAGGGCGGGCGCCGCACCTGACGCGCTTGTTCCCGTGCCGGCTGCTGCGCCGCGGCTCGTCGCCGTCGCCTGGCCTGCCCCGCCGCTTGAGCCCGTTGCTCAGCCCCTGCAGCCGCTGCGTGCGAGCCACCTTGCCGCTGCGCAGGTTATCCAGCTCCGCCTGCCTGCAGGGCAGGGTAGGGCAGGCGGCGGCAAGCCCGGGAGGCGGCAGGGCACAGCAAGCGGCTCAGGGCCGGCTTTGGAGGGTCCGCCCACACGCATGCAACTGGAGGCAGCTGTCGCTGCTGGGAGCCTGCAGCAGGCTGTTAAAGCCACAGAGCCGCCGGCTTTGCAGGCCAGCTCCTGCCAACACTTGCCTGGCCCTGGGAGCGCGGTTGTTGTAGAAAGCGGGGCCGCCAATCGACGTGAGGTGGCCCAGCACCGAATGGGCAGGGCACCGCAGCTCCCAACTGTCTGGAAGAGGCAAGGAGCAGGATGAGCAGGGCGCTCAGCGGCAGCCCACCACACTTGAAACAGCCTGATGCTGCCATGTTTGGCGCTCCTGCGCTGAACGCCGCAGGCAGGCCAGCATGCCGGCAAGGAGCCAGGCCAGCATGCCGGCAAGGAGCCAGCGGCAGTCCTGCTGAGGCAGCTGCAAAAAGACACCCGGCCCGGCCTACCTGGGTCGACCTTGCACCCCTGGACGCAGTGCAGGTGGAAAGTCTTGCGGCAGGACGACACGGAGCAGCAGGCAGTGGCGCCAACCTCGCCACAGTGTGCACACTTCTTCAGCAGCGCTGCGCCGACGCTTCCTTGGAAGCTCAAAGCGACGGCGGCTGCGGGGGAAAAGTCAACAGGCGGCTACAGTTGTGAGTTGCATTGCTAGAGGCATGGGCACAGCATCTCTAAAGGGGACCACAGGCCAGGGCAAGGAAAAGGCCAGGGCGGCCAATTCCGGCAGCTCGAGCAGTCAATGAGCGGTGCGGGGTGCGCGCTGCGGTGGCATCCTGCGGCGCCGCGGAGCGGCGCAGCAGCAGGGCGCAGCGCACGGCGCGGTGCGCTGCACACTCACTGGGCACAGCGCTCTTGTCCACCAGGTGCTTGCCCGCCCAGCCGAGGCCGGAGTCGGCGCTGAAGGCAGCGCACCTGCAGGGCCAGGGGGCGCGCCGCCGGAAGCGTGCCGTGACGCACGCTTGGCTGACAACCCGATGCCTTGGAACCACACAACCGAGCGTGATGACAGGGCCACTTGGTGCGACTCGCACATGAATACCTGACCGAAACAAGCATCACCGCGAGCCGCACGAGAGCTGCACCCCCCGCAGGCGTGGCGCCACCCCCAGGGCGAGCTCACCTGCGGTGCACCACGTACCGCCCGCCGTACAGCCCACCCAGCTCCCGCCTCACTTCATCCTCCACATCAGCGGAATCCTCCGCCAGCAGCGTGGGCAGCTTGCAGAGCGCGCAGGGAGGCCCGCTGGCACACGGCGGAGGCCGCAGCACCAGCTTGCGCGGCGCCTGCCGCTGCGCCTGCTCCTGCTCCTGCTGCTGCGCGCCGCGCGCGGGCCTCGCGGCCCCCTGCGCCGCCGCCGCCGCCTCCTCCCCCTCGCTGTCAGCATCCGAGATGGCTTCGGCAGGGGAGGCGGGCGGCGGGCGCCGCGCGGGCGGCTGGCGCGGGCCCTTGCCCGCCACCGCGCGCCTCGTACCGCCCTCCATGGCCGCCATGTACTGCCTGTACTGCGGGTGCTGGTCCAGGCCGCGGCTGTCCAGCAGGCAGATGTCGCCAATCTTCAGCTCCGCCTGCTTGCCCGCATCGGCAGTGTCCAGCCACCGCACGGTGAAGCTGTGGGGAGCGGGGGCAGCACAGAGGTGTGGGGCGGGCAGGTGCACGAGCAATCGAAGGCTGGCTAGGCGGAGGAGCGCCAAGGCGAGCGCCAAGGCAAGCGCTCGCACCGCCCTGGCGGCATGACGCGGTGCCGGCAGGAATGCAACGCGGGCAACGGGAGGCAACGGAAGCGCCCCCGGCTCCTCACCTGCAGTGGCACTTGCCGCCGTCGTGGCGCCCCGCCTTGCTGCCCAAAACCTCTGCATCCACCCACAGGTCGTCGTGCGGGGAGCGCTTGAAGCCGGTGATGCGGGTGCCGGGCAGCAGGCGGGAGCAGTCGCCTGCTTCCGCTGCCAGGCTGCTGAACCGCAGGGCCGACAGCTCGCTCAGCGGCTCCTCCTCATCCGTTCCGTAGCCGGAGAAGCGCAGGAACAGGCAGCCGCCGCGCGCCATCACGTCGCAGTCATACCTGCGAGAGGGGGTAGCAGGCCAGGCGGCAGGGGTTGGCGGTGGGTAGCGGCGGCGGCGGCGGGTGGGCACGGGGCGGCATCAGGGCAGGCGACGCGGCCTCGCAACAAGAAATTCAGGGCCGCTGCGGGTGAGTTCTGCTGCTCACCAGGCCCGGTCCTGGGCCGAGCGGCCCTCTAGTTGAATGGACTGGTCCCCCATCGCGGCCAGCAGGCCCTGGCTGCAGCAGCAAACGCCCTGCTGCTGTCACCCCGCAGCACGGGCGATTGCTGAGAGGGCGCCCAGGCGGCAGACTCCCATGGCAGCCATCGTACTGCAGCAGGTGGCAGGACAAGCCGCGCCCCGCGGGGCACCACTGGGAGCCCTGTGGCTGTGTGGATTGAATCGTGTCTCAGGCTGCACCCCAGCCTTCCATGCCACCCTCACGAAGCATAGGGCGGCGTCGCCAGTGCTTGACGGACGGATGAAAAGTTGGCGACAGCGGTTGAAGCGTTGCCGCCCTCCGCAAAATGTAGAAACGAGCACCTCAACTGCTGTCTTTCGATGGCAATTCTAAGCCAGGGTGATCTTTAGCCTGTCTGCACTGCGATTGCCAGACGTGGATGCAGCAGCAACAGCGGCGACGGCCCGGCTTGGGATGCTCGGGGTGCTCTTCTGGTCTTGACCAGAACAGCAGGGCTTGGAGAAAGAGAACGAGGATACCTGGCGAAGCTCCAGTGATTGAAGATCTATGAATAGGTTGCAGGGGAGGGAAGTCGCATGAGCGGCTTGCGCACTGGCATAAGGCACGGGCATGCACGGCGGCAGGCGGCGGCAGGTGGCGGCAGGTGGCTGCAGATGGCGGGAGCCGCTTGATTGTTGCATCCCGCGGTATGCACCTAGGGGCGGTGCATCTCAATCGCTGGGAGAACCCTTGCTAGCTTTGCACTAGCTTTGAGCCACGTCAGCGACCTAGCCTTCAAACGGAAGGCCAGCTCCCCCCAGACGCCTTTGCTCGATACACCGGCGATCGCAGCGATCTCATCGAAGTCGCTGCAGCTCTTGCAGCAGCTACGCGGGCCCTACAGGCACAAGCAGCTGCTGATTTCGATCGCCCGAGCACCAGCGGGGCCTCGCCAGGCCGCCCCTAGCAGCAGCATGGCGGGCGCCAAGCAGTTGTCCTTCTCCGAGGCGCACAAGCCGGGGCTGTGCGATGTGGCCTATCTGCCCGCCGCCGGCGGCGCCGCCACCCTCATCACCGCCGGCGCCGACGGCCGCGTGTGCTACCGCAGCGCCGAGGCGCCGGCAGAGGCTGCCAAGGAGATCGAGAACTCCAACAACGGCGCCTCGGCGCCGGTGCACTGCGTGGCGGCCGCCCAGGGGCGCGCGGTAGTGACGGGCGACGACCAAAATTTCGTCAAGGTGCGGCGACAGAGTGGCCTGGGCAGGGGCAGCGTGAGGTTGCATGCCAGAAGACCGATCGAATGGCGAGGTGGCGGTGGAGGGCAGGCGCACACCACGGGGCATGCGCTTTGTCCCCAGCCGCCGCTCCCTCCCTCCCACCTCCCCTGGGCCCCTCGCCCCTCCCTGCCTCCCCTCCCCTCCCGTAGTGCTACTCCCACCCCGCCGGCGAGCTGCAAGGGGTGGCCACCCGCTTCACGCTGCCGGTGCGCGCGCTGGCCTTCTCGCCCTCGGGCTTGAACCTGGCGGCAGGCGGGGACGATGAGGGCATTAAGCTCGTCGACATCACCACCTCCAAAGTATTCCGCCAGCTCAAGTCTCAGGTGGGGAGCTGCCGGAGTGGTGGGCTGTGACGGCAGCGGCGCGGCGGCGGGTCAGGCGCTAGTGGCAGGCGGCTGGGGCAGCTGCTGGGGCAGCTGCTGCAGCCGCTCGAGCCTGCCGGTGGCGCCGAGTACGGCGGCAGGCAGCAGGCAGCAGCGGAAGACCACATTAGCGTCAGACCACAAAGAATGGCGTTTTGGTACTGCCTGTACTGCCTGGTACCGCTGCAGGCCTACACCCGCAGCCTGGCGTACGACCCAGAGGGGGAGTACCTGGCTTCGGTGAATGCAGACGGCACGCTGAACGTATGGGAGATCCAGACGGGCAAGCAGCCGCTGTGCCGGCGGAAGGCGTGCCCCAAGGTGGGGACGGGCGCGTGGGCAAAGTGTCAGGGTGTGGGTATAGAGAGGGGACAGGTGTGAGCGGCAGCCAGAGCAGTCAGAGTTGCAGGCAGGGCTTGCCTGCGGCGAGCGACAGTGGGAGCGGCAGCAGCAGCAACCCTCCCACCCTCACCCTCCACCTCACCCACCCACACCTGACCACACGCCCGCCACCCGTGCCCTGACATGCGCAGCTGGACCTGGCCTCGACCAGCCGCAGCCAGGCGGCCTGGCACCCCGACGGCGGCAGCCTGCTGGCGGCCCCCGGCACCGACCACGACGTGGTGCTGTATGAGCGCATGAGCTGGGAGGCTGCCTTCTCCCTGGGCGGGCAGCACACCGCGGAGGTCAGCCTGCTGGCATTCAGCAAGAACGGTGAGGCCGGCCGGCGGGGCAGCCGGGGCAGGTGGCGGTAGTGGCGTGGTGTGTGTGTGTGAGAGGGCCAAGGTGTGGGGCGCTTTGGTGTGGTGTGAGGTGGCGGAAGGCCCTGCTCACGCAAACCGTGCTCCCCACATGCCCCAGCCGCCGCCCTCCTCGTCCACCTGCCGCCTCTCTCTCTTTCAGCACAACAACTCGGCACTAACAGTACTGCCAGTACCGCTGGTACTGCAGGCCTGTACCTGGTCAGCGCGGGCCAGGACCAGGCGGTGGTGGTGTGGGACGTGAATGAGCGGGCGTGCCTGGAGAAGCGGCTGCTGCCGGGGGCGGCCACGGGGCTGGCCTGGCACCCCACCAAGAACGAGCTGGCCGTCATCACAGAGGATGGTGGGTGGGGGGGAGGCTGCGGCTGTGGATGGGATGATTGCTAGGGGCTGCAGCGGTTGGGGTGCACTGCCTGGTGCTGGTGGCAGGCCCCTGCCTGCCTGCCCTAGTGGCCTAGCTGCCCGCATCTAGCCTGCCCGCTGCCGTCGCCCACCCATGCCATCAACCACCAACCGACACTCCCGGCCCCCGGCCCCGGCCTGCAGGCCAGCTGGCGGTGTGGTCGGGCGTGGTGCCCGCCAAGCTCCCCGGCCCCACCGTCGACCTCGACGCCCTCAACGGTGTGAAGAAGAAAGGAGAGGGCGAGGCCGGCGCCGCGGGCGGCGCCGGCGGGGCAGCCGGCATGGCAGACGGCGTGTCTGTGTTGGAAGGCGGCGGCGGCGGCGGGGTCGGGGCCACCGAGGCGGGGGCTAGCGACGAGTATGATCGGGAGGATAGCTTCCTGGCGGATTCAGGTGGGTACTGCAGCAGCTGCTAACGGCTGGCACTGCTGGTTGTGGGAGGGCGTGTGGGGAGGGAACGTTGGAAGGTCTGGAATTTTGCCCCCGCTCCCTGCCACCACCGCCAGCATCCCCTTGAGCTCACCTGCTTGTCTGCCCTGCCACCGCCGGCTGGCAGGGCCCAAGCGCGGCGCGCGGCGGCGCGGCCGCGGCGGCTACGCCGGCTTCTCCTCGTTGGACCTGCCGCAGCCGCAGGAGGCGATCCAGCCGGGCGCTACAGAGATGGGTGCGCTGTGCTGCCTGGGGAGCTGTGTGATGAGGGAGGGCAGCATTGGCATCACCCCTGCTGCCGCAGCTGCTCCTGCTGCTGCATACAGGTGCCTCTGTTGCCTGGCACTGACCCTGGCCCCTGCTCTCACCCACGCTGCGCCCCTGCCTCCCTGCCTGCCTGAGCAGGCGACAGCGGGCGGCGCTACCTGGCCTTCACGGGGCTGGGCTGCATCATGCTGAGGCAGGAGGAGGACCACAATGTGGTGGAGGTGGGTTTTATGGGTGGTGGGCGTCACTGTGTGAGCGTCACTGTGTGAGCGTCACTGCGTGAGTGCCAATGTGTGTATGGTGTGTGATGTGGTTGCGAGCTGGCGGTGGGCGCGTGCGTGTGATGGTTTGCCGCCTGCCGCCGCCGCCTGCCGCGCATCTGCTGCCTGCCTGCGCTTCAACCCCACGACCACCCAAGCGGGCCCCACCAACACACACACACACATACACACACACACACGCAGGTCTCCTTCCACGACAGCAGCCGTCAGCGCAAGCGCATCCCGCTGCTCAACGACTTCTTCGGCTTCAGCCTGGGCTCCCTGGGGGACAAGGTGTGTGTGGGGGGGCGGGGGGGGTGAGCTTGGCTGGCCGGGAGAGCAAGAGGCAGCAGCAAGAGGCAGGGCAGTGACAATGGCAGCGCATAACGGGGGTAGGAGGTGGCAGCGGTGGCAGCAGCTGGTCAGCCGAGGGGGGCGCCTTCCGCTCCCGCAGCGGATCAATACAGACTCTCCCGCGGGGCAGCAGAGCGGTTGTGACCTGTGTGTTAACCGCCTGCTGTGCTGCAGGGCGCGCTGTACGCCAGCCGCTCCAACAGCGAGTCTGCCAGTACCGTGGTGTACCGCCCATTTGAGGCCTGGGCCCCCAACTCAGACTGGTCCCTCTCCCTGCCCAGTGAGACCCCTGATGCCGACGCTTGCCGCTGCTGCTACGCCTGCGTCCGCCGCGCACGCGCGAGCGGCAGCGTGCCGGCACCTACCTGCTAGGTAGCACGCCTGCTGGGCCTGCCAGCCTGAACCCGCGGCATGCCTCACCTGCCGTGCTGCCGGCTGTGCGCTTGCAGAGGGCGAGGAGGCGGAGTGCGCGGCCGCCGGGGGCTCCTTCTGTGCTGTGGCCACCAGCAAGCGCCACCTGCGCTTGTTCAGCCAGGCCGGCACGCAGACGCACCTGCTGACGCTGCCGGGCGCTCCCGTGGGGCTGGCGGCGGCGGGCCACCAGCTGGCGGCGGTGTGGCACGGCGCGGCGCCCACGGCGGGCGGGGACCAGTGCCTGCAGTACGCCCTGTACGACGTGGCAGGTAGGTACTGCAGCGGTACTGCAACTGTTGTACCACCTGCTGCTCATGCTGGCGCTGCCACAGCTCTGTTGCTGCATGCCACCTGGCGCTGGCGGCTCGCTGGTGGTCCGCTTTCCTGGCACCTCCCACCGGCCTGATGTCGACCACCTGCGCCCCGCCACGCCCTGCCCCGCCAGCAGAGCAGCGCCAGGTGCACGGCGGCCCGCTGCCGCTGTCCCCCGCGGCCAGCCTGGCCTGGCTGGGCTTTGCCGAGGAGGGCCTGCTGGCTGCGTACGACACGGAAGGGGAGCTGCGCCTGCGCAGCGCCGACTTTGGGGGCAGCTGGGTCACTGCCTTCTCGGCCGCGGCAGGTGGGCCCCTGCGGGAGGCGCCGCCCAGCAGCGGCATTCGCCGGCACGCGCTGCCCCTGACGCGCGGCCCCGGGATGCGTGCGTATGCCTGGCATGCACCATAGAATGCTCTGTGTGTGCCTGCTCGCCTCCCACCTCCCTCCCCTGCCTCCCCTGCCTGCACCCCACCTCCCTCCCCCTTGTTGCCCTGCAGAGCGCAAGAGCACGGAGCAGTATTGGGTGGTGGGCCTCGGGGCCAAGGAGCTGCAGTGCATTGTGTGCGCAAACACCACCGAGCCTGCGGTGCCCTCAGGTAAGCCCCGCAGGGGACAAAGGGCTGCCCGCTGCAGCCCTTGCTGGCCTGCTGCTGCCCGCTGCCTCCCGCACGGGCTGTCCCAACCGCTGCGACGACATCCCTCGCTGCCCGCCCCCGACTGGCGCCGCGCAGGCATGCAGCGGCCGGTGGTGACGGCGGTGGCGCTGCGGCCGCCGGTGGTGGCGCAGGACGCGGCGCTGGCTCCCTTTGAGGCGGACCTGATCAGGTGGGGGTGCTGCTGGTGTGGCTGGTGGGCCCTGCTCCGGCTGGCGGGTCCCAGAGCTGGCTTGGCTGGTGGGATGGGCCGCCGTGGTTGATCCAAGCTCACGGCCGTGCAGAGGCAGAGGCAAGAGGCAGCTCAGCGTTGCTCCCCCTGCGTGCCTTGCCCCTCCCGCCGCGGCCCGCAGGCACGGCGCGGTGCTGAGCCACCTGGGCGCCGCCGCCGGCGACGCCAGGGAGGCGGAGGATGGCGGAGAGCTTGAGGAGGCTCTGCACCGCGCGCAGGTGAGGCCAGGCGGGCCGCCGCTGGCCGCTGCTGTGCCCCTGCCTGCCTCCACAGCTGACCGCGGGAGGGACAGGAGGGGGTGCATGCAGGCTCGGCACGCATGCCCGCCTGCTGCCGCTTCTCCTGCACAGCCCGCCCTGCTGCTTGGCGGCCCCACAGCGGGAGGCTGACCGCACCAGCCTGCTCACCCAGCCTGCTCACCCAGCCTTTGACGTCCTGCTGCCTGTGCCCGCTGCCCCGTCCACCTGCAGCTGGAGGCTGACCGCATCAGCCTGCGCCTCATCCAGAAGCTGCTGGCCGCCGACCGGCAGGCACGGGCCCTCGAGGCGGCCTGCACCCTGCACAACGTGCCGGCGCTGCAGGGGGCGCTGAAGCTGGCCAACCACCACAGGTGCGGCTGCACGCGCGTGTGTGTGTGGTGGTGGGGTGGTGGGGGGTGTCCTGCCAAGTACCGCAGACAGGATGGGGATGCGCATGTGCTGGCAAAGCTGGGTTGGGGCCTCACTATTGCCCCAAACATGAGGTTCCCGTCCCTGCCGCCTCACGGCACATGAAACGCCCAGATGCCTTGTCCACCACCCCGACACGCCCACCCGCCCGCCTGCATACCCCCCCTGCAGGGCCACAGCGCTGGCTGAGCGCATCAGCGCCGTGCTCGAGCAGCGCGTAGCCATGGAGGAAGCTGCCCTGGAGCTGGAGGAGGCTGAGCAGTACCAGCAGTACCAGGGGGAGGGCGTACCGCACAGCGCGCAGCGGCAGGTGGGCACTGCCTTGTGTGGGCGGGCAGGGGCGCTGCAGGTCCGCATCTGCCTGCCTACCTTCTTGTGGCCACACCTTCCTGTTGGCCCACCCCCAACCAGCTTCCACAATGCCGACACCTGCCTCTCGCTGCAGCATGGAGACATCACTCCGGTGCCGGGCCCCACATTCACCGAAAACCACCAGGCCAGCCCCGCGGCGGCGGCCACCGCAGGCAACATGAGCCGAGCGCCGTCGCCAGCCGTGGTCAGCCGGCCGCATGGCGGCACCGGGGCGGCAGCCAGCAGCAACCCCTTTGCTCGCAAGCCCGCGGCGGAGCAGCCTGAGAACTCGCCAGGCAATGCTGCGGCCGTGGCTGCCGCCGCCAAGCGCAAGGCCCCAGCCAGCGGCAACCCGTTTGCACGCAGGTCCAAGGCCGCAAAGGCCTGAGCGGCGGCTTGAGCCTGACAGGCATTCACCAGCCTCAATGCTGCACCTGGTTACCCCAACTGCAGCTTGAGCTACACCCTCTGCAGCTTGCATTTGCCCGCCAAGAGCGCACCCACTGCCCCTTTATCTTGAAGCTTCGCGATTTGGTCCATGATTCCACACGGTATGACTGTTCATGATACAAAAGCGAAGGGAGAGCAGTTGCAAGGACGGCATGAGAGGTTGCCACAAGGTGAGAATGCAAACATGAGGAGAAGGGCTGCGTCCTTCATTCGATGCGTAAGGCATGAGTTGGGATCATGCTTGGAGGCACAGGTGAGCCACTCAAACAGCATGCGCAAGACTGAATACAGTGACGTTGTTTGGATGTCAGCAGGAAGGGGCCACAGCAGTCGCACCGCCCAGCGCTCAGGGCTGAGCAGCTTCTGAAGCGGCGTGCAGGCGCCGGCACTCGCGCTTGTGGGCTCGCCAGTGCGCGTGGGAGCAGGCCTCGCTGCAGTACCTCACCACCCGGCACCTGCAGGCATGGAGGCATGCACGGCCGCACACAAAAAGCATGAATAGCAGCAGACTGAGCTTAACTGCAGAGGCAGCCTCAGGCTGCTTGAAAAGCCTCCCTGCTGCTACAGCACTGTGCGCAAAGCTCACCCGCTACAGCGGCGCAGGTGCCCCGTGTTGCCGCAACCCTCCGCAGCGCACACCCTGATGCCGGCAGTGGGGGCAGCGGGTGCCGCTGCGTGTGCTGCACCTGCTGCAGCTGTGTCTGCTGCAGCTGCTGCCGCTGCTGCTGGCTCCACACTCCTTTCCTCTGCAGTTGAACTTGCAGGCGCCGACTCCGGCTGCCTGAACTGGGACAGGATGCCCAGCACATCAGCTGCAATCCCCCGTCCCAGCTCGCAAATGCTTCCGCTGTGCAGGTAGTGCTGTAAGGCAGGGATGCCGCCTGCTGCAATAATAGCCGAACGGTAATTGAGACTGCCAGTGGACATATTCCAAAGCACAGCGGCAGCACTTGACTGCACAATCTCGCTGCCGCCCGCGCACAAGCGCTGCACCAGCAGTGGGAGTGCATCTTCTTCTATGATATCTGCCTGGCGTTCAGGACTGTCTGTGGAGAGGCCCACCAGCACACGGACTACGCCCTCTTGCACCCCATTGCTGCCGCTGCGCAGGCGCTGCACCAATAGAGGGATGGCACCTTCTGCTGCAATGGCTGCACTCCTGTCAGAGCTGCACGTTGCCATGTTTGCCAGTGCGCCGGCTGCTGCCGCCTGCACTGATTCGCTGCCGCTGCTGCGCAGGCGCTGCACCAGCAAAGGGATCGCCCCTTTTGCTGCGATGGCTGCACTTCTGTCAGTGCTGAACGCCGACAGGTTTGCCAGCGCGGTGGCTGCTTCCTCGTGCACCGCCTCGCAGCAGCTGCTGCGCAAATGCCTGATCAGAGCAGGTATGATGCTGGCCGCGGCAATGGCTTCCCTAGCATCACGACTCTGTTCTGCGAGGTTTACTACCACCCCGGCTGCCTGCTCTAGCACCGCGTCACTGCTGCTGCACAGGAGCTGCTCTAGGATCGGGATGCCACCCGCCGCTACAATGGCTGAACTGTTGCTGGGGCTGTCAAGGGCCAGGTTGCGCAGCACCCCGGCTGCTTGCTCTTGCACCACTGCGCTGCTGCTGCAGCGCAAGCACTGGATGAGGGCCGGGATTCCACGTGCCGCCACAATGGCTGCAATGTGGTCAGGATTGCCATAAGAAAGTTGCACGAGTGTGGTGACTGCTTGCTGCAGCACCGCCTCGCTGCCACTGCTGCACAGGTGATGCACCAGGGCTGGGATGGCGCCTGCCGCCACAATTGCTGACTTATTGTCAGGGCTGTCGCGAGCTAGGTTTGCAAGCGCCGCTGCTGCTGCTTGCACTGCCACGGTGCTGCTGCTGCGCAAGAGCTGCATGAGCAGCGGGATGGCGCCTCCTGCTGCGATGGCTGCCTTGCTGTCAGGGCTGTCAGCAGAGAGGATTGAAAGCGCCGTTGCTGCTACCACTCGCATCCTCTCACTGCTGTGGCTGCTTCCCAGGCACTGCAGCAGGGCAGGGATGCCGCCTGCCGCTGCAATGGCTGCGCTGTAGGCGGGATTGTTGTAGGCAAGGCTGACCAGCACCCCGGCCGCTGCTTCAGCGCGGTCTCCGCCGCCGCTGCGCAGTGTCCTCACCAGCGCTGAGATATGGCTGGTCGCTGACATGGGGATGGGTTAGGGAGGTGAGGTTGCGTCTGTGCTGCTACCCAGGGGAAGACGCTGACCCAGTGTGCTCGAACCCTGCAGCAGCCTGGGGCGGGCAGTCGTGGGCAGGCAGGCGGCCGCAGCGCCCAGCCGAGTGCTCGCCACACACCAGCGCTCCACAGTAGTTCAGCGCATCCACGCGTGCCACCGAGTGCGGCACCCCCCCGCTCACCGGTCTTCACAAGCTCCCGCTGCCGCAATCTCCAGGTGCGGATGGACGGGAGGTATACGCTGATGCGACGTATAGGGTCCTGCGCGCCGATGGTTTCTTGTGCGGTGGCGAGTTGGCACAGCGCCCGCGGCATTCCGCCCGACCCGCTCGACCAACGCCAGTCCTTGACGAGGCAGCACACAGCGTCTTTCGATCCTGAACATATTGGAAAGCGCAGCAATAACAGTTGGTGGCGTTCCTTGCGCCAAAGGGAGGAAGCCAGCAATGAGCTGACGGGCTCAGCCCAGGCTGGTGGGACGAGCGGCGTTGACGCTCAACAGTGTGACCTACGCAGTGCAGGCTTGAAGTGCGCCCGGCTCCGGGCAACACTGCTGCTGTGAACAGTCCTCGATTAGGTGATTGAATGCAGCTGGGTCAGGCGATATGTGTTCCCCCGCGCCACGTCCACGGCCGTGCACGGCGCCGCCCCGTCAGCAGAGGTTGCGACTAGAGCACAGCCCAACCCTCAGCTGTCACCACTACCGTCCTCTCCGATTGCCATGTAGCTGGGATGGGCCGCTCCAGCGTGCTCGCGTGCCTGCTGTTCTGCAGCCTGGCGGCAGGTGGGGCAAAAGTGGCGCGATCGCCGCCCTCCCGCTCCTGCTAGCGCACGAGATCAGCGCTGGAAGGCGGCTCCTGGCCGGCGCGTGCCTGGCAGGGCACGGCAGGGCACACGTGGCCCACCGGCCGCCGCTGCCACTCCCCGCCGCTGCTGCAGGCGCCACCGCGCAAGCAGACCTGCCGCCTGAAGAGAAGGCCAAGTTCTTCGTGCAGTATACCCCCACCCTGTATGAAGCCTGCTCCAAGGCCAAGCTGGAGCTGACGCTGAGGGCCATACAAGTGGGTCCTGGGCAATGCCGGCACAAACAGCAGTGCTGCCGCCACCAAGCCCATGCTGCCGCTGCCAGCGGCAGCCCGCCCTCGGGCCCCCGGCGGCCCCCTCTTCTGAGGGTCTCTATGCCTCACGCAAAGCCATCACTGCCGGTGTGCCTTTTGTAAATGTGTGAATGCGTGCGTCTGTGTTTGTGGCGTGTGTGTGTATAAATGTGTGTGTGTGTGTGTGTGTGTGTGTGTGTGTGTATAAATGTGCGTGCGTGTGTGCGCATGCGTGTGAGTGTGTGTGTGCGCAGTCTCTGGACATGGTGCACCACTTCTCCAACCCGCTCCTGGCCGTCACCTTTCTGGCGCTGGATGGTGAGGCTGGGCCCTGGAGGGGAACTAGGCGGCAGGCAGCTGCGGCCGCTAGTACCCGTGGCGGTGGGGCGCATTGTTGGGGTGGCTGCTACAGGAGCCAACGCGTGTGCAGCAGGAGGTCCCGGCGCGGTCCGACGCTCCCCAAAGCATCTGGCATTTTAGGGCCGCCTACCCCATCCCACCACCACCTTGCTCCCTTGCCTCCGCCACCCAGCCTGCCCCTCTCCACCCCAGGCAGCGTAGGCCCCATCCCCCCTCCTCCTGGACCGTGTGTTGCTGCAGATGAGGCGTGGCAGGACCTGGCGCGCACCGCACGGGGCATGCGCATCAACAAGATGTTCAGCGACTCGCAGCTCATCAAGCAGGTGCCCCGCGCTGCCCCTTGCTTCAAAGAGGGCTGCCACGCTGCCGCAGGCCTGCTTTGGCATGCAGACCGACCTGCAAACGGAGCGGCATGGAAACAGTGGCGGGGATGGCGCAGGGCTGCCTGCCTCCTGTTGCCTGCTTGTTCCCATGGCGCGCTGGCCTGCTTGGCTTGGCTGGCATGCTAGGCAGGCTGGGCTGGTCGTTGCTGCCTGCCCTCGAGCGCCCGCCCCGCCCCGCGCCGCTCGCCGCCTCATACCCCACCCGCCCGCCCGCCCGCCCGCCCCGCCTGACCGCCCACCACGCCGCCACTGCCTGTAGATCCTGCAAGCCCACACGATCGACTACCCAATATTTACAAACTACTGGCCCCGGGAGGGCAGCAGGCACATAGACACCATGCTGCAAGGGCGGGGCATCCAGGTGAGCGGCCGGGCAGAAGGTCCCACACCTTGCGCTGTGAAGCTGGCCGAACAGCTTGCAGCCGCCACCGCGGCGGTGACAGCATGCTTCTTGTGCCAGCAGCGTCACACCCCTACCCCCTGTGCCTTCACCCCCGCTCGCCCTTCCCTGCCTGCCCGTGGTGTGAGCAGCTCACGATGGGCAACAGCAGCAGCAGCGGCGGCGGCGGCGCCAGGAGCTTCATGGTGCTGGGCTTCCAAAACACGGCGGAGCTGGTCTGCTCCTCCACCAACCTGCGGGGAGGCGCCAGCGTGCTGCACGTGCTGTCCCTTCACAAGTGAGCCGCTGCTGCTGCTGCCGCTGCGGGGCCTGCCCACTGCCGCCGTCGAGTCGGGCCCACCGCCTGCCGTAGCCCTTGCGCGCTGCCATCCAGCCCGGTGCCTGCTGCTGGCGGTGCAGCTGCAGCACGGGGCGCTGGTGGCAGAGCCGAGAGCTGGGCTGTTTGGTTGACCTGCTCAGGTTGGCACCTTGCTGCAGGGGAGGCACGCAAGCGGGGCAGGCTGCAGCAGGGCAGGCGGCGCAGGGGAGAGCCGGGCAGGCCGGGCAGGCAGCAGCGGCGGGGGCTGGGCAGGGCGCACAGGCAGTTGCTGGGCAGGCGAGAGCTGCACAGGCGGCGCAAGGACTGACGGTGAAAGCAGCAGTGTTGCAGATGCAAAATGGCGGAACGCAGAACAGTTGAGTTGAATCAGCTACTTTTTGTCACCCAAATCCACCAGGCAAAGTTCACAGAATGCAGTTGCAACAATCACAGCGGTGGGAGTGAGGCAGAGGGAGCACAGCCATCGTGTAAATGTTCGGTTTGGTGAGGGTGGAGGAATATCCCATATCTCCCAGACAATGGAACTTGCAGACAGCCACAGAAGCTTTCAATGATGCAGGATGTATCAATTTTATAAATGTCGCGCCGGGCTTGCATCGTTGTCAACGGGAAACCACGAGGCACAAGTGCCTCTGCAACTTGGAAGAGGCTCGCCGCACTGCGCCGCTGCCGCTTCCTCAGCAGAGCGCCGCTGCCAGCGCCAGCGCTGCGGCCACCAGCCAGCCGCCCAGCCGGCGGCGCCCCTCACCGGCGCTCGTCGGCGCCGGCGCGGGTGCAGCGGGGGTGGGGGCGGGGGCTCCGCCAGAGGAGAGGGTCTTGAGGAAAGCGTTGACCTCCGAGGCGAAACGCTCAGTATCCTGGGCCCACAGGCCATGCCCGGCGTCCGGATACTGTAGCACAAGCGCAGGGGCAGGCAGGGCAGCAACACATGCGTCAGGGGAGCGGCCACCGACCTTCCAGCCCGCAGCAGCAGCCCCAGCACCGGCCGGACAGCTGGACAGCCCGGGCGGCGGTCCTATCGGTCCCCGCCGCCAGCCGCAACACAGCCCCGCACCGCGCCCCGCCGCAGCGTGCATGGCACAGCGGTGCCCTGCCCTGCTGCAATCAGCAACCGAAAGGGGCTTTTGACCTTATCGCCCGCTCACCACGCTGAGCTGGGCCTGCGGCAGGCGGTCGGCCAGCACTTGGGCGTTCTGGGGGGGGATGATGAGGTCCTGCGCCCCCTGCACCACCAGCGCGGGCAGCTCGATGCCCGGCAGCGCGTCGTACACGGCGCTGCTCTCCTCAAAGGCGGCCGTGGCCTCCGCCTGCTGCTCGCTGGTGTCTGGGTTGGTGTAGTTCTCCCCCAGCGCCTCGGACATGAAGGCGGAGCCCAGGAGGAAAGCGCAGGCCCCCGCCTCGCCCTCGGGCGTGGTCAGGTTGAACATCACGCCCGTCGCCTCCTCCCCGTTGCAGCAGGTCAGGGCGGTGATGGTGGCGTTGTCGGGGAACACCATGTCTGTGGCGGCAGGGAGGGCAGGGCAGCGCGGCAAGCGGGCAGGCGAGGTCAATGGCACGGGCCCGGGTGCATGGGCGAGGGCAGGGACAGAGCAGCAGCGGCAGCGGCAGCGGCGGCGGCGGGAGCCTGCTGCGCAGCATGGCGGCAGCTGGGCGGGACGGCGGTATGGCGCAAGCGCCGCCGAGCATGGCCCCAGGGCTGCCGGCGTGGCCGCGAGGGCCGAGCGGCGGCGGCGGCGGCAGCGCGGCGTGCCTGGCCCGCCCACGGCGGTGTCCGCCAGCACCAGGCCAGCCAGCTCAGAGCCGTACTGCTGGGCCATTGACAGCGCCACCATGCCGCCCATGCTCCTGCACGCACCAGGCGGAGCAGGCAGGGGCGGCCCAAGGCAGCGCAGGCACTCCGCTCGGCGCCAGCCCCTCCCAGGCAGGGCGGGCATGGAGCCAGGCGGGCCACCCGGCTGCCCCGCAGCAGCAGCAGTGGCCATGGCCGCAGCAGCGGTGCGCGCGCAGCGGCGACAAGTGTTGCAGACAAAACTTCTCCCAGCTGCCCGCCCAGCCAGCGGCGGGGCCGCTCACCAGCCCAGCAGCACGGGCTTGGCGTCTTCGGTGGCCACGCCCGCGTCTCGCAGCAGGCCCATGATTGAGTCGGCCATCGACTCGATGGTCAGCGGGTCGGGGCTGGTGTCGGTGCTGTGCC